TAGTGCAGAAGATTAGATTTATTCGCGTTTACTTAAAAGGCATTCGCCGACAACTAAGGCACAGTCATGTTGCTTAACGCTTAAGGACAACTCAGTGGTCTGCAGCCAGTTAATCAGACCTATAAGAAAGTTATACCAAATACATAGGTAGTTTTCAAATGTAAGCATGACATCAAGTTAACCTAAAGGAATGTGGTTAATCCTTTACGGTTAGATTTGCGCACCATTCTGCTGTTGAATAATAGCTGATAAGTATCAGGCAAGTTCCTCACGATGTGCATGTCTGCAAAGGGAGCAGTAAGGCCAGTACTGATGGCCAAGTTCAGTGTATTGTGATAATAAGGTTAGTTTTGTGGAATAAAATTGAATAAATTCCGGATGTCAATTAGGATAAGGGCTCATAGTTCTGTATTTATTTTAAACGGTACGTCCCATATTGTTTCGACAATTAAGTTAGAATGACCTCCAAGAATTCACGTCGACCCGAAATATACTATATCCTGCCTTTCTAGATGCTGGCATAATCCAGTACTATATAAAAGCGATACAAGCACTGCCTCATTTCGACGTAGCATTAAAAAGAACAATTTCGATTCCGAACCGAACTCCCCGAAGCACCTTGATTTTTCAGAGAGTCTTTTCGCTATTGGTGGCTTCGTTCGAGGAAACTGGTCTGCTGACGTACACGAAATAAACATTATCAATCTTCGACAGAGACCGAGAGCACCCCTGCCTGGTGCACGCTCCCGTCATGCAGCTGCTGCAGTCAGAGTCAGTGACGGCGTCGAGTTCAGCAAGTGGATTACAGTTTGCGGTGGATGGAACGCTGAGGAGAGGCAACTCCGTTCATGTGAAATTTTCAATCCGCGGCTGAATGAGTACGTGCAACTTCTTTTTTTGTTACCATTGGTTTCAGCAAAAAAATGCTGACCGACTCCGCAGTTCCTCCGCCTGATGATCTATTTCCTCATTTAGCTGATTTAAAAAACGAAGTCAGCTCATTTTCCTTCCCAGAAATGGGATCAATCCCGAAACGCAACAAAAAGAGTAAATGAGTTCCATAAAGGCCTGTGAATGCCAGTTAAATTACCTAATATGTGTTCCAGGATGTTTTAAAAGGTATCAACGCGCAGCCCCGTTGTGCCCTGGAGTTCCAAATTGGGCAGTCGCATAAAGCTTGGTCGTTACATAGAAGTACTGACGAAGACAAGTGAGATTGAGGCGACCATTTCTGGCTTATTAGTTGTCATCAGCGAGCCATACCCAACCTCAGGTTTGGCCAATCCACGAGGCTCGAGCACACGACCCGTTGGTTAGAAGTCCAATGCTCTAGCCATCGGGACACGGGCTAGCTGTTCTGTCATTGCGGTTGGAGTTTTAAAAACTGCTATTGGGTATGGCTGGCTGATGACGGCTACTAAACCAGAAATGGCTATCCCAGTCTCCATTGTTATTGCCAGGGATTTTAACCCTTACCCAGCTTCCCTTGTTACATTCTAGTACACTCAACGAATGCTCGAGGGTTGCCATTAGCTCCGAAGAGTTCTCGAAGAAGCCTCTTCTCGTTTCGTTTGGTAGTTGGTAGTAATACTATTCTGTCCCAAAACTTCGGCGCTATGCGGGTGCTTGCGGGGCTCGTGAGTGAGCCCCAAGGCACATCGCGGGACACGCATGTCCTGCATAGCCTTCGGTGAGCGCATCCTCTACCAGCAGAATGAGGAGTATTATGAGCCGAATTCATGGCGGCACATTCCGTAGATGACGGAGGTTTCAAAGCCGCGGATAGATACCCCGCGCCACTCGGAATTGGAACTATTCATAGGTCCGCCAAGCCAT